GGGCAGTGCCCCAACTCCCCAATCGGCCCTGCTCTGAGCCCGCCCTCTGCCACCTGGGAGCAGGCCTAAGCCAGCAGGTCATTATCTCATCTCACAAGGGGTCCCAGACTGCTGAGAGGGCCTGTGAGGGCACAGGCCGGGCTGAGGGACCTCCCCTCCCCTCCAAGTGCACAAACTTTTGTGCACCAGCCCTCTAGTTTTACATAAACTTTATCAGGAACAACAAAAAAACAAACTATCTACTTTCATTTTTCAGGGCCTAATGTATTGACCTTCAGTGGCAGTTTTCCAGGTATTTGAAGGAAATATTTTTTAATTTTCTCACAGAATAATTTCTAGGCTATACTGACAGAATTTGAAACAAACTTAGGTTATTTTTTTTACAACAAGCAACAAATGTAACAGACATGGTTGTTTTTTAGATGTTGATTGATAGTGCCAGGCCATGTCACATTAAACAACTTCCCTTTCAATCATGGTGACTACTATTATAGTTAGATTTGGTATTTTAACAACAATCTTTAGATTATCCTATAAATATTAGTGGAAGAGATTTCAAAATTTTAAAATTTCGCCTTTTTATTAAATTTATAATTATATTTTTAAGAGTATCCCTTTGGGCTCATTTGCATATACAGAGGGATTATGGGAAGCCTCAGTAATTTAGAAAACTTGAATAGGATTAAATTATTTATAAAAATACTGGCTTCTCATATAACTTAATTTATATGAGACCTTGATTATATTTTAAAAGCTAATTTATTAAGTAATTTAAATAGGTATTTTTATTAAAAAAGAAAGTAATTTTAGAAAATTATCTTTATATATGTATATATGACTTAAAGATTATATATATATTTTATAATTATTAAAAGGTATCAATTAAATTTTAACTGGTTTTTATATGAAAAATTTGGTTGACAAACACTGCCCCACCTCCAGCCTAATTTAAAATTCAGGCAGCTAGGGGCTTTTGTTTGCTTTATTCTGTCTTAAAATCCTGCTGTTGGGGACCAATGTTGAAATTTTACCACAACTATATGATTTTTCCCAATTTAATTTAACTTGAACTTTAAACTCTTAGCTAGCAAGTCAAATATTTAACATTTCTTTAAATTAAAACACCTTACATATATATTTTTAAATATGTTTTATTGATTTTTTTATAGAGAGGAAAGGAGAGGGATAGTCAGAAACATTGATGAGAGAGAAACACTGAGCAGCCGCATCCTGCACACCCCCCACTGGTAATGTGCCCGCAATCAAGGCACATGCCCCTGACCAGAATCGAACCTGGGACCCTTCAGTCTGCAGGCCAACACTATCCACTGAATCAAACAGGCCAGGGCAACAGCTTATACTTTTAAGAATAAACTTTAAAAATACAAGACACAATCAATTAATAGGTTTAATTATGTCTTCTAGATTTTTCATGAGGCAAATTTAGATTAATATTTCAGTATTTTGTCATTTCAAAAATATCTAGATATATTATTTTATTTTTTAATTCAGCAAGCTTCCAAAGTCTCAAATTGCCAGTGACTGGAAGCAGGACCGTGCAGATGTGGGAGGAGGCAACGCCCAGAACAAAGGACGAGGAAGTAAGATGATAGTTGATCTCGGATTTTTCGAAATTCATACTCAGCCCCTCACCATGAATCACTACAGTGTTGTGTTGACAACCATCCTAGAGACTCGCTGTTCTCTGCCTTGTACCTTCGTCTAGGACAGTGGTCGGCAAACTGCGGCTCGCGAGCCACATGCGGCTTTTGGCCCCTTGAGTGTGGCCACGAAGTTTCAATTGCACTGTATGTGCGTGCCCGCATGTGGTATTTTGTGGAAGAGCCACACTCGAGGGGCCGCAGTTTGCCGACCACTGGTCTAGGAGCACACAGGGCCAGCTCCTCCTTGAGCTCCCGAGGCCGTCCACTTCTCCGTCTGTCCCAGTGTATTGGGTACGGTGTTTATGTGCAGTAACTTGTTGAATGAGGAATAAATACTGTTTTATCTGTGTTGAATGGACCAGTATTAAGCGTTGTTATTCTCACATCTGTTTTCTGTTTTTAGTGGTATGCCATCTGCATTAGTGACGTTGGCGATTACGAAGGCATCAAGGCTAAAATCGCAAATGCCTACGTTATCAAGGAGCATTTTGAGGTACCAGTGAACTGGGCAGGTGTGGGCTTTCTGGGTGGTTGGCTCACTGTTCCGGCAGCTGATCAGACTGCCTCAGACTTTCTGGCCTTGGAGAGGCGGTGGGCTCAGGTCTGTGGGCAGCACCCGTGCTCTGTTCTGGGGTGCAGCTGAGCTCCTGCAGGCTGTGCTCCCCTGCTCCATGCAGGGATGGGTGCACAGGGGGCTTCTCGTCTCCATTGGTTTCTGTTCCTTTATTGCATGATTGCTGGCTTCCAAGAGTGGGTGGCCCAGGGAGAAAGTCCGGTGTGCAAACCTGCCTCACACCTGGTAATACCCCGTCAGCCCACACAAGTCATGTGGCGAAGCCAGAGTCTGTGGGGCTCACAGGCTGACAGTCCAGCGTCGCAGCCCCTGCCTGGGGACAGCACTGTGTACACTGTGGCCTCTGGGTGTGCTCACATCTCCCTGAAGTTAATGCTCGCATCACCATAAGTGCTTCCTCGGCTGCCCTGGGCTCTCCATGCATCTGTTACACCCGACACTGGCCCTGTTGCATCCTGTTCATCTCTCGCGTGGTATTCTAGACCATCCCGGAGCTACCAAGGAGGCACAGGTGGGGAAAGCATGGGCAGGGATAATGTTAGGTCGGCTGGGCAACAGATGTCTGAATTTTATGGTCATAGACTCAGCTTCTAGATTTTTCAATGACTAGTTGACCAGAACATTGGATGGCAAGTCAGGAGACCTAGCTGCTTCTTCAGGCTCAGTAATACGTGTGCGCACATGTGTATATACACACGTGTCTATCCATTTAAATTTAATAGGTCTTGCCAAAACCGGTTTGGCTCAGTGGATAGAGCGTCGGCCTGCAGACTGAAAGGTCCCAGGTTCGATTCCGGTCAAGGGCATGTACCTGGGTTGCGGGCACATCCCCAGTGGGAAATATGCAGGAGGCAGCTGATCGATGTTTCTCTCTCATCGATGTTTCTAGCTCTCTATCTCTCTCCCTTCCTCTCTGTAAAAAATCAATAAAAATATATTAAAAAAAATAAATTTAATAGGTCTTTTTCACATTTTAAGTCTTAGAAATCAGACAGCATTGTGTAGTCAGTGGTATCTTATACTTCCTTTGTAGTCTTAGTGGCACATAAGATAATGTTGTGGTGTCTTAGATTCAGTGACTGTGGCATCTTGCCTAATGCCACATCTCAGTTACTCTGTGCCTTGGTGTGTAGAAATAATGACAGGTAACTGCCAACGTGAATAGTGAAAAATCGCAGAAAATATATTAATGTATATTAATCTAAACTTCGAACATGAAGGCTATAATATTTTAAAATTCAATGTTTTTTATAAGCTTTCAAATGTATATGTGTTCAGTGTGTTTTAAAATGACAGTGCTTACCATTTATACTATTGTTTCAGATCCCATATTTACCTAAGTCAGAGGAGTGCCTGTCTTTATTTAACTGGACTTAGATTAAACTGGAGGGTTTGCTGGGAGAAGCCCGTCCGCCACCTGTGAGAGGTTGAGCTCTAGTGCCCAGGAATCGGGAGGCCAACCTCTCTCTAGACCCGCCCTGCCCGTGGCGGGTGAGAAAACAGTGATTTACGTGGCGTCGGCAGGCGTGGTTTTCCAGCGGGACTCCGGCAGGGAAGGAGCTTAGAGTAGAGGCTGTAAATACTTCCAGTTGTGCTTTGCTATAACTCATGCAACCATGTTTATGGAAAAGCACATTTTCAATCCGCGCTGCGTCCTCCCCGTACTATTGAGCCGGAGTTCCGCCAGGTCACACTCGTTAGTCTCCTTCTGTGACTGCTGCTGCCACCGACCGCACTGTGAGGGATGATGCCAGGACCCAAGAAAAGGAAACGGTGGTGACGGGAGACACTGCTGTGCCAAGCATCTTCTGTGACTTGCTCATTTCATTGTCACCACAACTCTTTTGGGAGGTGTGTTATTGTCTCAATTCTCTGAAAGAGCAAACCCAGGCAGAAATAGAGACACCTCCCAAGGCCAAGACGTTAGGAGGCATGAGCTGTGATTGCGACCCAGTAGTCTGGTTCAGAGCCCACACTGGTAACAGTGCAAAGATTTGAAAATGTGTGTCGCACACACTCCTGACTGGAAGCGATCGTGTGGATGCGCAGAAAAGCATACGCTAGGGAGTCCCAGTTTTTATTTATTTATTTATTTATATTTTATTGATTTTTCACAGAGAGGAAGGGAGAGAGAGAGAGTTAGAAACATCAATGAGAGAGAAACATCGATCAGCCGCCTCCTGCACATCTCCTACTGGAGATGTGCCCGCAACCCAGGTACATGCCCCTGACCGGAATCGAACCTGGGACCCTTCAGTCCGCAGGCCGACGCTCTATCTACTGAGCCAAACCGGTTTCGGCGGGAGTCCCAGTTTTTAAAAAGGGTCTTTTATTTTTAATGGCACTACATTAGCCTCTGAAATTTCCTTAGCAGTTTTCAACAAAATAATATATCAAAGGAGTAATTTCGTTAAAGGTATTGTCATTTATACTTTACGTTAATTCACACAGGGCTGTCACGTGGCAAATAGAAATGAGGGACACTTTCCCGACATGTTTTACCTTGTGCTTCCTCAGTAAACAAGTAAAATTCTGCTTGATTTTCTCATTTCTTGTTAGAAAGCAATTGAATTGAACCCTAAAGATGCGACTTCGATTCACCTAATGGGTATTTGGTAAGAAAATTTCTTTGAATAAATATTTCAGTGGTCCGTAGTGTGATCTTATTTTGTAGTGTTTAAAAAAGCAAGATGTCAGCTACTTTAAAATGCTGCTTGGCAGTCAGGAGTGCTTGCTTAGCCATTAAATCAACCAGCAGCTGTGCCTGTAGTTAGGAAATACAAATGTGATTGTGATCTTGTCTGACGTCGTTATTCAGATCATTTAGCAACAGGTGCAGTGGTCCCCTCATCCGTGGGCGCACACTCAGGGCCCCAGCGGCTGCTGACGCCGCAGGTGGTGCCCAGCCCTGAGTGTGTGCCCTTCTTTCCTGCACACGCCCTCTCACCCATGGCGGCTCCACGGCCTCTCAGGCTGTTACCAGTAGTCACCCCTGTTTACATGTGGTCACAAGCCCCCCCACTCGAGGGAGCAGTGTCAGTCAGTCCCTCCGTAACTCGGGGTGGAAGTGAGCCTCTGAGGTTATGTCCAGTACACGCTGCTGAAACAGGCAGCACCAGCGTCCTGTGTGTCTGATAAGAAGCTTGATTGTCTTGAGGAGAAAGTCAGTCAGTTCGATGCATGAACGTTTCTTTGCTTCCCCAGGTGCTACACGTTTGCTGAAATGCCTTGGTATCAGAGAAGAATTGCCAACATGCTGTTTGCAGCCCCTCCCAGCTCCACCTACGAGGAGGTGAGTGCTGACCTCCCAGGGCGGCACTCGCAGGGCTCCCTCGGGACTTGTCCAGGCGGCCACTCGGCCTTCACTGTGTCCATGACTCTGGGTCGATTTCTCTGGTGGAGGCTTGTGACGCCCGCGGCCAACAGCTGCCTCCATTTTCTGTTTGAAACTTGTGCCACGTGAATCCCAAGTAGGGCAGAAAGCACAGCGCCTGCTCCTAGCAAGCTGTTTGGACATATCCTCTGTACGTCATCTCCCTGCCATGCCAAAGAAAGCGCGACTTGGCATCGATAACTTATTTTAAGAACATTTTTTTTATTGATTTCAAAGAGGAAGGGATAGGGAGAGAGAAACATCAGTGCTTGATCAGCTGCCTCCTGCCTGCCCCCAACTGGGGATTGAGCCCACAACCCAGGCATGTGCCCTGACCGGGAACCAAACCATGACCTCCTGGCTCATAGGTCGATGCTTAACCCACTGAGCAACACTACCTGGGCTCCATAACTTTTTTAAGTGCTGTTGAAAGAACGTTGAGGGGGATTTATGGGCAAACGTTTTGGGTTTGCTTGTCAAAAAATGTGCAGAGTGAGGAAACAGGCCATTGAAATGGCTTTCTGAATACTAGTGTCATAGTGAGAGCCTGTTTCTTTCTGGAAAGCTGTAGTGGAATCCGATGTCAGGTGCACTGAGGTGTAAATTACACAGCTGGGAAATACCTATTGCTATTAAAAACAGTGCATTCTAAGAGAAAAGATAGCTCTGCTCTAACAAATCGGTTTTTAAGAAATCGGTTGGTAGTGTATTATAAAAACTGTTTAAGTGAGTCATAAAGAATTAACCCTTTTAGACTCACAGTAGCATTTTATGTAGGAATTTCAATAATAAAGAATTTTAAAAACTCCCTGGTACAACCAGTGTGTCACTGAGGAAACGCAGCTTTCCACTTTGTCTAGTTGTCAGGGTGTTCCCTGCTGGGACTGAAGAAGAGAGAGGAGAGCGAGCTGCCCGCGGCCTCCTTTCTCTGCGGGAGGCGGCGCTGGGACCTTGGGGCTCCAGGGCCCATGTGCTCTGTGCTCAGGGCCTTGAGTGCTATGTTACGCTTAATGTTGGTGATTGGGCCGTTATTTTAAGGGGTTTTCATCTACTTCCTCGCTTGTATGTAAAATAGGAATAGAGTTTGAGAAGATTTTTAAATATTGAATCTATTTTAATCCTTTTCATTATGTTTGCATTCTTTGTGTTTTTACAGGCCTTAGGCTACTTTCAAAAGGCAGAGCAAGGTAAAATATTTTTTATTTCAGATACTAATATAGTTAAAATTATGTGAATACTTTATATGTAACTAGAGGCCCAGTACATGAAATTTGTGCATGGAGGGGGAGGCGTCTCTCAGCCCGGCCTGCATCCTCTTGCAGTCTGGGACCCCTCAGGGGATGTCCGCCCTCCGGCTTAGGCTCCCCACGAGGATTAGGCCTAAGCCAGCAGTTGGACATCCCTCTCGCAGTCCAGGAATCCTTGCTCCTTACCGCCTGCCTGCTCGCTGCTTCTGCACTGCTGCGGAGGTGGGAGAGGCTCCTGCCGCCACCACCGCTGTGCTTGCCAGCTGTGAGCCCAGCTTCTGGCTGAGCGGCGCTCCCCCTGTGGGAGCCACTGACCACCAGGGAACAGCTCCTGCGTTGAACGTCTGCCCCCTGGTGGTCAGTGTGCATCATAGCAACCGGTCGTTCTGCTGTAATGTTCGCTTAGGCTTTTATTATATAGTTAGGAATTTTAAAACAAAGATCCTTTATCCTGACACACCTTTGTACTGGGCTTTATCAGACAGTCTTTAAAGGTTTTATTCACTTGAGTAAGGTGTAGGCCCCGCTGCCCTGGCGTGTGCTCAGCTGGTTGGAACATGTGCCATGCACCAAAAGGTGGCAGCTTGGATCCCAGTCAGGGTTCATGCCCAGGTTGCTGGTTTAATTTCCTGATCGGGGCGTGTAAGGGAGGTAACCAATGGATATCCCCCTCCTCCCCTCCCCTTTCTCTAAAGTCAATAAGAAACAAATCCTCGCTGAAACCGGTTTGGCTCAGCAGATAGAGCACCGGCCTGCGGACTCAAGGGTCCCAGGTTCGATTCCGGTCAAGGGCATGTACCTGGGTTGCGGGCACATCCTCAGTGGGAGTTGTGCAGGAGGCAGCTGATCGATGTTTCTCTCTCATTGATGTTTCTAACTATCTCTCTCTCCCTTTCTCTCTGTAAAAAATCAATAAAATATATTTAAAAAAAAAAAAGAAACAAATCCTCGAGTGAGGATTTAAAAATGAAATAAGGAGTGGGCCTGACTTGGCGCCTGGTTCACTGGAGTTTCATCCCGGCCGCCCGGCCTTCCGTGCCTCTCGCTCTGAGGAAATGTCAGCCTCCACATGCACACTGCCCCACTGTCCTCTGTTTATCCTTTTTGTTAATGTATCTTTTTGTTGAAAGTATTACAGATGTCCCCCTTCCTGTGCCCCCATTGGCCCCGTCCACCCCACTCTCTTCCCCTCCAAGGCCTTCTAAGTTAAAACCACCGAAGTCAGGGACACATAGCATGTTACCAGATACACCAAAAAAATGCAAGTGTATTTCTACAGAACTTACTCAGAAAACTAGGTTTGCGGGGCTGCTCGGAGGACTTGTTGAAGGCTCTCAGGACAGCAGAGCAGAGAGGCAGCTTTTGGAACAGTTGTCGGCATGTCTCCGTCTGTCACACAGCTGCTCTGGCCGCTGCGGCCTCTGTCCACCTCCTCATAGGTTTTCCGTCTCTGAACGGGCCTAGGAGTGAAGTTCCTGGAGGGCGTTAGTGGGGAGGTTTGCCGGGACTGAGGAAACCGTGGGCTTACTCTCCTGAGCTAAAATAATCCCCGGGAGTGGCCGTCTCCGCGTTTTACCCTGAAGGCCCGTGAGGCGGCCTTTCCTGCTGGCCATGTCTGGGCTGGAAGTCTCCTCTCTCCTCGTGCCTTAACTTCCCCGCCAGGGCCCTGCCGCCAAGGAGTGCTCGGTGCCCCTGAGGCGACCTGCAGGGAAGGTGGGGCTGGCTCGCCTGTTCCGGGCCGCTTTGCTGAGCGAGAGAGGAAGGAAGGAAGGAGTGTGGGTCACGGGAGGAAACGAGCACAGCCGCGGGCAGATGCCCCAAAGTCTGTGCGAAGGAAGTAGGACAACGGGGTAAGGAGCAGAGGGAGGTCAGCCACCAGGAAGAAGTGGGATGTGAGCACCGAGGGCCCAGGTGAGGGAACCTGTCAGGAATCCCAGCTTTCATTGGTAGACGTGGTGCTGAGGGTTCCCTCAGCAGGATGGGTCTCCTTTTCCTGTGCAACCGTGCAGCCCCGTGAGGGAGCGGCTCTTCCTGTGTCTCCTTGCACTTTACAGCTCACACCTGTTGGCGCCTTCTCTTCCCTGCTCAGCACATTCATCGTGCTCCTGTTTCTCTTGCCTTTTCATTATAAATTCCCAAAGAGCAGAGCTTGTGTTTGATCTGTGCTTAGGGGTAGCCCCACCCAGCACAAGCTGGTCTGGCGTGTACTGTGTGTGTGTGTTGTCATGACTTCACGTGTGCTGAGTGCATGTTAGGTTCTAGCTTGTGAGGGGAGAAGGGAGCAGGCGCTGGGAGAAGGCCCTGTGCTGGGAGCCTGGACCGGCGCCTGCAGAGAAAAGGCCGCGAGGGAGAGTGCGCAGCGGGAGCCGCACCCGGAGGTGCTCCGGACCGGCTGTGACACTGTCTGGAGGTAGGAACAGGTGAACAGGAGGCTCCTGGTCGGATAGTCATTTATTCACCACACAGGGAACTGGAATTCAGACCCCCAACAGGAAGCCTGTCGGGGCGTGCGGTAAAAATAAGAGCAATACAATTGTGCCTGAGATAATTTTTCTTTCTTGTGAACAGTGGATCCAAACTTCTACAGCAAAAACTTGCTTCTCTTAGGAAAGACATACTTGAAGCTACAGAACAAAAAGCTCGCTGCGTTCTGGCTGCTGAAGGCCAAGGACTATCCGGCCTGCACCGAGGAGGACAAGCAGGTGCGCCCGCAGCGGCGGGAGGCGGGAGGCGGGGGGCCCAGCCACGCTGCGTGATGCAGCTTGTTGGAAGCACTGACATTTGTGCTAAGTTCTGCACAGCAAATGCTTAGTTACTATCAGCATGTTATGAATTCCTTGCTGCAATCCTGAGTCACTCCTGTGTGACAAACAGGCGGGGGGAGGCGGGTGTTCTATGGAAGTCTGAACGCCCCCCGAGGCACTGCCCGACATTCTGTCCCGATGACCTGCCGTCCTGGGTGTGGACACAGAAACTGCAGTCCACGGTGACCCTGAATTCCACAAGCTGATCTCTGCTGTGCCATCTTTTTGTTTTAGATACAGAGAGAAGCCGCACAGTTGCTCGCAGAGTTCAGTGGCAAGAACTGAGTGTTTCAGAGACGCAGCGCACACCTAGGGTGTTGCCCTCCCACCAACTGTACGTGTGTGAACACGACTGGTCTTGGCTCTCAGTGCCAATGACGTGACCATGTGACAACTGAAATACACAGATTCTTCACAAATAACAAGGCAGAAGCAGTAACTGCTGTGAGGTGGTGGCGGTGTCGCATGGTGGGGGGCCGGTTACTGTGCATCTGGGGTACCAGCGTTCCAGGCATGGCATTTGAGAACCAATCACTTGGGATGGAGGGGCATGTTTCCAGTTGGTGGCTCCAGCTGAGACCCTGCAGAGAAGGGGCAGTGGGGTGAGGAGGTTGGGAGTTGGGGTGCTGGGCATCAGTCTCTGTGCATGCTGGGACATGGTCTCTCAGGGGGTGGTCTGTGACAGGACAGAGCCCAGGCCTGTTCCCTGATGGGGTAAAAAGAACACAGCTCAAGGGAGGAATGGGACACGTTTAACCAGAGGCAGACGATGCTGTGCCCTCGGGCTGGTGCCCGGCACTGCCGCTGTTTGTGAGGAGCAGCTTGAATGAGGGTCCATGGGCGACTCCCCGAGGGTTGGGGTGGTGTCCCTGTGACTGGGGCACGCGGTGCTCATGTGTGCTCTCAAACACGAAGGGAAACAGTGGACTGCGTCTCTCCGTGTGCGGTCACATGTAGATTCTGCCTCCGTGTGTGTGTGTGGTCATATATATTCCTCAACCTTGAATTAAGTGCACACGATGTAGTTCATCCCGAACACTTCATCATACAGACCCCTTCACAGTCCATTACCACAGCTGATACCCAGACCTTTAAGTTTCCTCAAATGCCACAATGTCTTACAGTTTTTAAAGCCAGGATGCCAATGTCACACCTTGCATTTGATTTCCCACCTACATTTTGTGAAATCGGAAACACTCCCATCTTTTTTCTTAGCAGTGACTGTGTGAAGTGGCCAGGCCAGCAGTCTTAGATTGTCCCTTGTTCAATGGACCTTATGGAACCTACTTTGAGAACCAGTGGTCCTGTGCCCTTCACGCCCGGTTGGTTGTGTATGTTGGATCTTCTCCGCCCAACGTTGTTTACACTTTCATTGCAGTGGCTCTGAGGCTGCTTTCTGAGGACGAGCCCTTGTGTGGGATTAGCAGGTGAGCCGTGGGAGGCGAGGCCTGGGTAGACTGCCCTCTGCCGAGTGGTCTCTGGGAAGTGAGGTACTGCTCAGTAATAAAGCCTTTTGCTGCGAAGAAGTCTGTCTGCTGATGTTCTGTAGAGCTTTCAACTATTGTTTTCTTTGTGCAAACTAGTGCAGAGGCTGTGCGTCTGCCTCGCATGCCCAGTTTAACAGCGAGTCTGCCCGCCAGCTGGGCACTGAGGGAGACCGCCTGCCTGCACTCACAGAGCTCCCTGCTCCCTGGTGTGTCCGAGTCCCACTCCGCGCCCCTCCCCGACTTGTGCTCTAGTTTTGTCATTTCAGGAGATGGGCTTTGTTCACTCACAGAATGTCTTTGAGATCCGTCCAAATCCAGTCAGTGCTTCCTTTCCTTTCATTGACTATTTCATTGTGTGGTTGTTCCCGTTCATGTAACCTAACCCCTTGAAGGCATCAGGCCATGGGGGTCTTTGGTGCTGTAACCTTAGGGACCCACATGGCTCCGGGGTAGAGCTCAGCTGTGTGGTTGCTGGGCCTGGGCTGGAGCCAGAGCTGTGTCCTCCCTCGGGACTAAGGGGGCTCCCTCCCCCAGGACGACGCACTTCCCGGCTCGGTCCTGTACACCTTCTGTCTCTTCCTTGTGACTCTGAGGAGACTGATGCCCACCCTTCCCTCAGGTCAGACCTCTACCTGCTTCCGGACCCAGGTGTCCTCCCTGGCGGCCCTGCCTCAGGCTCCTTCCTTCCCCTCGTGGGCGCAGGAGTGCGCATTCTGTCGGGGTGGGTGGTTAGCGACCTCCCTGCAGACACATTCCCTTTTGAGGCTGACAAGAATCTCAACTTGCAAAGGGCCTGCTGTTCTGTGAGAACCTGAACGCCTCAACCTCTTGTTGGCAGTTTCCCTCCTGTTACGTGGGCGGAATTCTGTGGGAATCTGTCCGACTCCCTCCTCTCTCGAAAGCAAGTGTGTCATCACAGCAAGGGAAACAGGAAAGCCCACCATGGAGCCGAGGAGGGAGCTGGGCCCAGTGAGCACTGCAGCGCCAGTGTCACCTGTCGGCCTGTGCCCTCGGCTAACATTGGGCGAGGAGCGTTGCCATGTAGGAGACGCCGCATTTGGACAGTTTTTCGGTGGCATTATTTGCTCTCTTGTGGTGCTCACTTTAGCCCTGTGTTGGCTGTGTGCCTGGGCATCACTGGCCTTTGGCGAGGGCCATGGGTTCATGTGACAAATGCCCTTCGCTCGGCAGGAGCTGTCTGACAAGAGGGGGCAGCTTGTCCAGAGGAGCCTCGGGAGGGGGCTCTGCTGGGTCTGGACAGGCCACCCCCCAGGGGCCTCAGGGTTGGCTGTGAGTTGGGTGCAGTGAGAGCAGTGGGCACAGTGGGCGGCGTAAGGAGCAGCGCTTGAGGACGGCGGGGGGTGGGGGGCCCTCTGTTGTGTACATGGTCATGGTGAGGGCGGGGAAAGGAGTCTAAGCAGCCACGTGGATCACTGCCTTTATTGCATCTTTACTGTGAGTTTTGAAAAAATGCAGAACACAATCTAATATATAGAAAAATAAAATTTTGGCAACACAAACTGTTTAGGGAAATTAAATTGTATACTAATATTTTTCATATGTACTCAGCAGTGAAATATATTAACATTCTAAGGTGTCACTTCCGTGGTTATAAAAAATTTTAAGTTAATTTACAGTGCATATTGAAATAATACAAATTTAAATTTTTGTATTAATAAGGAAGCCCCCGTTTGCTAAAGTAGCATTAATGTCATTCATATCAGATTTTAATTTGTTATACATGTTTGTATTTCAGCAAATGCCCTTGATAATGAAAAATAATTAAAAAGTATTTACTTAGGACAAAAATAATGATCTATATAGAAAGGGGGGAAGGACAAAAGACTTTTTTATCTGCTTATGTAATTCAGATACATAGAATTTTTCATCAATTTTCAAGGAATGGAGAAATTAAGACACTAATAGGAAATCATTAGACTCATTAGTTTGAAGTCAGATGCTCACAAACTCTTCCATCCGAATGGTTTTAGGAACCAAAACTATGAACACAAATAAAAGTGGGAAAGTTCACATTACCTTTCATATGTCCCTCAGGATCAAATTGCATCAATTTATTATGAATTAAACTTAAAGCCCATCACATTTTTCAAAATAGTGAAGGAA